GATAGCCAAAGATAGATATATTTATCAGGCACAGCCATTTCCATGTTTTAAAAATTGATCTCTGGAGCTACAGCAAATACCATGTGTGATTTAGTATACAAAGAAATGAGAGGAAGTAAGTGTAGCAAGCTTTGGGTGACAAATGTCATGTATAACCATATTTATAACTATAAGTGAGCTTAAGGATCAGATCAGTGTCATCAAGATCACCTGGGAATCTTTAAAAAATTATGATATCTCCGCTTTGTCTCTCAAAATTCTGATCAATCATTTGCTTTGAGGAACAAACCTGTGTATTTGTTTCAAAAGAAAAAAAAAAGACTTGGGTAATTGTGATACACACTCAAAATTGAGAACTTCTGATAACCCAACTTTTTCACAGATGGAGAATTATTTTTGTTGTCTACTGCTGCATAACAGATTACTCAAACTAGGGTGCTTAACACATCATACATTTCATATCTCACAGTCTTGTGGATTAGAAGTCTAGGCACAACTTAAGTGGTTCTGCTCATTGTCGAACAAGAGAGCAATCTACGTGTGGGTCAGGCTGTGTTCTTTTCTGAAGCTCAGAATTCTTGTCCAAGCTCTTATGGTTTGGGCCTGAATTCTTTGTGATTGTAGGACTGAGGTCTCCATTTGTTACTAGCTATCAGTTGAGGGTCGTCTGCTCCTACTTGACACTATAGTTCCTCACCAAACGGTCCATCTACAGATCTATTTGTTCTGGAATCTGGTCTGGAACACCTGGTGGAAGAAACAAGTGGCATTCGGAGATCTTGGAAGGGAGGAGATTTATTTTACACTGGTGGGCTCAGAGGAAATCATTTTCCAGATGTTTGAGCCCAGAGCATCAGCAAAGGTGATAATTTATAGACTGTTACTTCTGCATTTCTCATTAATGCATGCAACAAGCGGGATGGGAAGAAGAACCCAGAAGGGAGAGCCTTTGATCAGTAACAGGTATTTCCTTATCATTCCTGTTGGCCATTTTATAACAGATTTTTCCCTATCAAACTCACCAACCCCATTATGGACCATCTTACAATATGGAAGCTTATACCTTCAAGCCAGTGGGAGAATCTCTTGTTACAGTCTGCTGAGATGCAGTCTTATATAAACACAGAGTGACTACCCCACTACTTTTGTTACATACTGTTGGCTAGAAGTAAGTCTCCATAGTCAGGGGAAGTTGGGTTATGTAAAGATTTAACTCCCAGGTGTCAACTTCAGAGTTTGTCCGCCACAAGGAACTAAGTTCCAAGGAGCTCAACTGACTACTTGAGTTTATTTAATTAATTGTTGGGATGTTGGTTTTCTTACTAGTCTGGGTGAGCTTCCAAGAGATCATTAATTACATTTTAAAAATATGGTATTCATGGTTAAATACTAGGATAGGGGGCATGTGTTTCTGCTTCCTAACTGATCTCTTACTAGAATGTGGAAACTGATTTATGAGTTTGTTCACTTTCCTTGTATCATGTAGGTAACGTGTTTGTGTAAAAATACTAAATAGTTAATTTAAAAGGAGCCTTTGGCTCTAACATCTGGTGGTGGTTTGAAAAATACCTATTTTTTTGCTAAAGTTGGATTTTTGTGGTGATTGCCAACACTTTTTGAATAATCTGCATTGTGACTGGAATCATTCATGTGCAAACATTTTGGCCTAAAGGAAAGTTAAGTATTTGGCAAAAACCATAGATGACCATGTGAGCTGAAGGTGTTTCCCCATTCTTAGCATTTACATAGCTACTTAAATATTTTTGGAGTTAGCATCACATAAATATGTGAAGCACCTCAGGGAGAAAAGGATAATTTTAACTGACCCCTAGCTAAGAGAACGTGTACAAGTCTGAAATTTAGTTGATTACCATCTGTTTGAAAATCTCTGAAGCCTAAACTTTATAGTTGAGGAGTTCACTCCAATACTTTTTCTTTTCTTTTCTTTCCTTTCCTTTCCTTTCCTTTCCTTTCCTTTCCTTTCCTTTCCTTTCCTTTCCTTTCCTTTCCTTTTCTTTTCGGTTCAGTTTAAAGTTATCTCATCTTGATCCACCCGGAACAACCTTTGGCATATGTTGAATGTGTTTGGGGAGATACGAGTTTCTCTTTTACATTATTAGTGCATTTAAATACAGATGCTATGATTATAATTAGTTGTATCACTTCTTTTGCCACAGAGCAGTTCCATAAGCCAGTTCACCTAATTTGTTTAAGAAATTACTATTGAGGGGCGCCTGGGTGGCTTAGTCAGTTAAGCGTCCGACTTTCGCTTAGGTCATGATCTCACGGTTCGTGGGTTCCAGCCCCGCGTCGGGCTCTGTGCTGACTGCCAGCTCAGAGCCTGGAACCTATTTCAGAGTCTGTGTCTCCCTCTCTCTCTGACCCTCCCCTGCTCACGCTGTCTCTCTCTCTCTCTTTCTCCTAGAAATAAATAAAAATATTAAAAAAAAAATACTATCGACACATTCAGGTATATGCCAGTGCAATATTATCAGATTTGTTTCATGTCAGTCTTTTGGAAAGAAATATAATTTTGTAGTTACAACTGATTCTTCATTACCCCAATCATGATCTGCTCTCCTTACCAGATAAACATAACCAGGCTATGGGGAATTAGTTTCTTGCAGCACATGTGTGTCCTCACCATGTATATTTTTATTCCTTCACTCCATATATCTATAAAGATATGTATTATTATTTTGTTTTTCACTTACATAAATTTTATAGAGTACTTTTCAACTTGCTTTTTGTGCTTAGTATTATAAAATTTTGTGTAGTGATTCATGAGAAGCTAGTTCATTTATTTTGATTATTGAATGGTGGTGTTCTGTTATATAAGTGTACTATTCTACCAATAACAGTGATAGTAATAGCTAATTGCTAATTTCTAGGTAATGCATACTCTCTCCTAGCTACTTTTTAAATGATTGTATGTATATTAACTCCTCACTTAATCCTCACACAAATACTATGAAATAAATGTTACCATTTTCATTTCACAAAGAAACTGAGGCATAAAGGCTAAATAGCTTGCCTGAGATTACTTAATTGTTAAACAACAGAAGCCAGACCCAGATGGTCTGCCTCCAAAGCCTTGGTTCTGCATTAAGCACAAGCAAGAGAGGTTTCTGCCCTGGGCTCCACACTTTAACAAAAATCCAAACAGGATTTCCCCGGTCAATTCTTTTTTGTAGACATGGATTTCATAGAGTTAAGGGGAGGGTACCACTTATACCCCTCAAGCTTCCTTTAGATAAAGTCTCAGTGTCATTGAGATCTGGAATTCCTACTCAAATTCATTTTTTTTTTAGTGTCTGCATGAGTCTCTTCCCTTGGTGGGTCCTCCTAAGAGCAGATATTACTACTGCATTTTATATCTATAAGCTGAAAAGTGGCTTTGTATAAGGTGTGTGGTTGGAGCATGGACTGTCAGCTGGAATGTTGGAATACATGCAAATGAGGTCTTTCCTGTAAACTTAGACTTAACAGGTATAGGAAGTTACTTGGGGCCTCAGGGAGAGGGTTGGGGAGCAAGAGCTGCCTCTTCCTATGCCACCTCAGTCTGATACAAATTCCTAAGCCACCTGAGAGTTCTGACTTTGAAAATGGCCATTTAGTCCACTTTGAAGATGATGAAATAGCTTTATTAAAATATCGCCAGCTTTATTCTTAACTCTGAAGTATTTAATCATTTGAATGTGAACCTCCATTCATTGGGTGACTGCAGATGTTGAGTGAGACTATGGAATTCACATGCTGCCCATGGTGAACTTGCTTCCAATATGGATGTTTCATTATTCCCTTTTTATTCCCTACCAGATTAAAGTTAAAAATAGAACTACCCTACTATCCAGCAATTGCACTTCTAGATATTTATCAAAATGCCAGAGTCCAGCTCCAGACAGTCCGGGGTCCCTGAAGGATGGACGGTATCGGCAAGAGAAAGTGACAGAGCCCCAGTATTCTTTCTGATCACCAGGCAGCCATCTCTGTCCTGTCAGTTTTGGTGTCTTTATTTATAGGTCAAATGATAACATGACATCCGAAAATGGAATTTTTACGATGGATAATTCTCTATGATAATAAGATGCTTTGGAAAGTGTATAGTTCTTGCAGACTACCACAATTACAGTGAGGTTGAGTAAATCTTACAACTAAAAAATAACAGGGTGTTCTTAGTGAAAAACAGGATAATATACGCATTTCTTTAAGTCAATAATGCTAAGATTAAGTCATAGGTTAAGACAGGCTAGGAGTCATTCTATCTGGCTCACAAGAGGAAGAATGTACTTGAGCTGGTTAAAAACTTTTTGATTTGATGCTGAATGCGTAAACACCATGGGGGCCCTAAATGTGTCAGCCTTTGTAATTGGGCTTATGTTTTAACTATTCTTAACCATCCTCATTACAGCTGCCAGTGTAAGGGAAGGTGTTTGTGGAATGTTGGCCTTAGGGAAGGGACTGCTATATATCACCAGTTAGTAAAGGTATGTAGTAACTTATGTTCTGCCCTTATCTGTTCCTTCTCTGTAAGTTAGGCTGTCTCTAGGCCAGACTTAATTGTCCAGTTATATTCCTTATGGCACTGGAGACCCAACCGTACCTTTAAAGAGTTTGGCTCATTTCTAGTACATAGAATAGCCTCTTTGAGTGCATTTACCTTTGTGTCTAGTTTTTTGTCTGTGATTTCTTGAATAGCTAGGGCATGAGGAACATTTTTGGTTAGTTGATTTACATGTTGAACTGTATGAACCTCTTGGACTAATGCAACAGTAGAAACAGAATTGTACACATAAAGGTCAGTCTTTTATGAGTAAGGGTCATTAGCCTCATAGCTCAAGAGAAAGTATGGAGGGAAACAGGACCTGCTGGAGACACGGTGTCTGTTCCCATAATGAAAAGAAGAAGTTCCCACAGTAAATTCCTTCACAAGGTGCAATTATCGTACCAGGGCCAGAATAAGGGGACAAGTCACTCTGGATACCAATCAATAAGGTGCTGTGGGGGTCGGTGCTCAAGCAGAAACAATTGAGTGAGGATGGATATCGGTTGTCATCTGACAGCAGGAGACCTTGCAAAACCTGCCTTAACTAGTGAGTTCAGAATGGCTCCCAACATAAAAAGAATATAAAAATAATAATTCAGCGGGATACTTGCACCCTGATGTTTATAGCAGCATTACCTACAATGCCAAATTATGGATATAGCAAAAGTGTTCATTAACTGATGAATGGGTATAGAAGATGTAGTGTATCTATCTATCTATCATCTATCTATCTATCTATCTCTATATAGTGAAATATCACTCAGCCATAAAAAAGAATCAAATCTTGCCATTTGCAATGACATGGATGGAGCTAGAAACTATTATTCTGAATGAAACAAGTCAGTCAGAGAAAGACAAAAAACATATGATTTCACTCATATGAGGAATCTAAGAAACAAAACACCGAAAAATAATAGCTACCATTAACTTAGCATTTATCATATGTCAGAAGCAGTGCTTTTTGCTTTCTGTAGGTTATTTCACTTAATACTGAAACAATCCTTTTAGTTAAATACCATTATTTAGTTCAAATTTACTTATTATTTAGTTGAATACCCTTTTAGATATGAAGAGGCAAATCAGAGAGTAAGTATCTGAAGGCTACAAAGTCCATGATTGACAACCTGGATTTAAACATAAGGTTGTATGACTTTATAATGATTGTAGATGATTATAATGTTATTTTGCTTTCCCAAGAATGAATTAATGAAAAAAACAGCCATTATTTTCCTTAAAGTTGAACTTATCCTGAAAACCTAGCTGAAACTGTTGGATGTGACTTAATCATCTGCACCGCACATAGTATTTTGATGTGTTTCTAGGCAGGTTGGACTTGAACATCTGGCTAGAGTACCATAATCATGTTTAAACTTAGATTTTTGTTTCAAAATTTATTAGAAAATAGACTGTGGGAATGAATGAAAGATATACACACGTGTCAGATCCTTTTTGGAAATCGATGAATTAACACATTAGTTATTAAGTTATATGAATTGTGATTATTTATCATGCTTCTGATTGAAGGCACTAGCTAAGATACTATCATTATAAAAATAATAACTCAGCTCTTGATTGTATGTTTATGTCAAAAGCTCCACTGAGATTTGGAATGCTGATGACCAAAATGCAATAAAAGAACCCTTTATTCATTTATGTTTGGTAAAATAATATTAGAATATGATACATTCCCTCTTCCTTATGGTTAGCAATTTGGGTCTCATGATTCTCTATTAAATTTATTATTTGTTGGGATATAATTTACAAAGATTCTGTATTTAGAATTAGTGTCTCTGGGCTTTTATTATAAATTATGTGTTCACACTCAAATGGTGAAAATACATACTTTTGGAAATAATCGCAGTAAATGGTACATACACAGCAACTGTCAGGTTTGCAAAGGGCAATAGGGCAATAGGTGATAGCATTTATTGAAACCAGGGCTTAAACTCTGTGGGAGTGTCTGTGTCTTCTGGTCTCTAGGAATCAAGAGGGAATCACTGCATCTTGACTTCCCTTAACCCTTGGTCTTGTATTATATTCTGCACAGTTAACAACATCATGTGACAAAATATACAATTAGATCCAGAGAATGTGGCTTCTTGTTAGAGTGGATATCTAAGACAGACCTGGTGCTGAATGAAGAGATAAGAGTTCTAATTATTTATGAGTCCTATTTAAGCAATATGCTGCAGCCTGAAGTGTAGATATTTTAATTCTCATATTAAGCCTGGATGGCGGTCAGGGATGAAGGGTAGGTGTTATATTAGGGTTTGTTATGCCCAGATCGCGATCTCCCCAAAATCCCAAGACCACCAAGGAGTCCGAGTCACGTATGCAAAAGCGAAGGGTGTTTTATTCAGGCTTGAGCTCGGGCTGCCAGACCTCACCAACGCAGTGGATCCGTGCTGAGAGCCCCGAGCAAAGGCAGAGTAGGGTTTCTATGGGGTTTGTGATGGGGGAGTTACATAAGTTGTGGCAGGGGAACAGTGATCCAATCATAATTATTCAACATTATTGACAGCGGGTTTAACTATACACATTGTCTAGAGTATTCGTTACTTTTGGCGGGATCCAATTACAACATTTAGAGTACCTTTAAATTCGACCAATCACAGAGCGAGACTAGGGTCTTGTTTGGTGACTAACGGGTTAACTTTAACATTAGGTAACAAGGTCCTGTCTATAGTTTCTATCTCCAGGCCTCTCCCTTAGTAATGTGGAGGGTGATCGCTGGCCTTTCCTGATTGGGTGTTGCAAGGGTGGTTTCTTCTGCCTTGGGCAATGTGTAACTGCCTGATAATTTCAGGGAAGCTGAAATTTAGGCCTTCTAGTTTAGAGGGGAAACTTGAAGCCTGTCACGGAGTCAGTTTGATTTAGACTTGTGTCCTTACAGGTTCTGAAGCTACATTTGTCCACTGTTGGGCTTTAAAACCTTTGCCCTTCTTATTTAATGTAGAATACATATAAAGAAGATACTATTTATCTTGGCCTAGTATTTATTGCAAGATAACTTCCTTTATTTTAATGATATAGTTTAGTTTTCTCTATTAGCTCTTTGATTCAGGCATATGGAAAGGCCACAGTGCCTGAGTGCATCTAAGGAAATGCCAATTTTCATCCTACTTCCATCTGAAAAATCTGACTTTATTATTGAATGTATCTTAATTGTACACCTTGTCTTTAATCCAGTTGTATTAGCATCATAGATATAATTGGTTGCAAGGCTAAATGGGAGCCTCTTCATTTGTCCTAGATGGAATGTCACTCTTTGATAAATCTCACTCTGTATAGAACATATGAACTTTAAACAATTTAGACGTGTTTATATGAGGCAAGTGCAGCTTGGACCAATTGTTAGACTAACATTTTTAAAATGAAAATATGGTGTAAGTAGAAATGAACCTGGAAATTAGTGTAAGTTCTGGGTTTTAATACTTAAGACTAACTGTGTAACCCTGGCCATTGCTTGTAACTTCTCTAAAAAGACATAGGTTTCTAAATGTTTAAAAATGATTTATTCCAGGGAGATCCTTTTAAATTGTCTTGAGGATAATATGGGACAACACATGAAAAATATTTTTATACTGTTTTCCTGGCAACTCAGAGGTAGCCAAACAGCTTCTTAAATGAAAACAAAAGTAGAAATGTTTAAAATTCACAAAGGTGGGAGATTATGATTAATTAAAAAGCTAAGTGTCTTTGGAATGTTTTCCCACTACTCCATTTTAAATACAAACATTAATTCAACATTACTCATTTCACCAACTTCTCTAGGGGCAATCCTGCTTTCCTGGCAGAAGTTTGATAAACTTGGTGGCCTAGTGATATGTGGATTATATGTTAACAAAGGGATCAACAGCTCATCCAAATCCCTTTGACTCTAAAGGGAAATAACACTTTCAGGTGGAAACCTGCAAGATACTTGGACATCTGCATAATGACTGAAATTAGCATAGGTTTACATAGTAAGCTACTCTATTAGAATGTTGATGACTTGGAAAGGAACAGAAGGTTGTAAATTTCCTAAGGGAAGGTCTCTGGAGGGTATGAAGTCCTGAAACAAATTCAGCCCAATGTAAGAAACATGTTGAGAATGACGGAAAGGACAGAAAAAAGACAAATGTATTGCATTTTTCCCTAAAAAAGTGACTTGTTGATGCTGCTGTGATATAGTACTCTTTAAAGTATGGTAGTAACAGGTGGCCTCTCTTCGTTCTGTTTGTTGAGAGGTGATATGGTATATGCCTATTCATTAGATACCTATAATCATAATTTTCTCATAGCAATACTTGTGTGAGGGAAGACGAGGAAAGTAAGGAAAGGGAAGAAGACAAAAATGGTAGAAGAGAAAAAGAAGAGAGGATAGGAAGGAAGCAAGAGGAGTTGGGATGAGGTCAGCCAAAAAAAAAAAAAAAGAAAGAAAAAAGAAAAGAGAACCATGCAACATGGAATTTGCTCCATCTTATAGTTTAACAGTCAAGAGAGTGTGCCGCTAACAGTTTCTAGACTGTGGAACCATACGTAGATAAAAAATAATTTGCTAGTTTAGTCTGCCACAGTTTCTGAAATCTGCCCAAATTTTCATCCACACCCTGCATATGGAGGTAATGGAAAATCACTCCTGTCCTCCCGCTGGTACTGACAGTGGGAATCTGTGCTTCAGCATGTGAGCAAAGGCTGATTTAAGTACAAAGTTGTCCAGGAAAGTTGTTTCCTGTAGAGGTGCTCAAAATCCATGGGTGACTATAGAATATAAAAAAGTGATTCCTCAAACTTTCCCCACCAAAGGCCCTACCAGTGTTTTCTTTTTGTCGCATGAAACATATAATTTGATCTTTTTTCCTACTGAACAAAGTCCACAATTTGATGATTCTTAATGTGTTTTCCATATTGTTTTTAATCAGTAAGATGTAGCAGTCTGTCATTCCAGACTGGATTTGAAAACCTGCTTCCCTCCTTCAGTTGATTTAAATCTAGTCACAAGGATACTTGGCCTTTTTAGGTGGTTTTTGTCTTATGGTGGAGAGTGGCAGTCACTGACTTTTGAAATACTGAAAATAGCTCATGGTATTGCTTAAGTAGATTAAGAAACATATGCAATTATAATATTAGAGTAGAAAGGGGAATGAATTCAGACTGAAAACTTCAGATCGGCTGGATGGATAAATAATGTGGTAAGTGAGGTTGGAAAGAGAACTTGGGGCTTTCTTGAGCAAGTTTTAATAATTTGCCCCTCACTTTTCTGCCTGCTTTGACAGATGTGTGGCCCATTCTCTTATATTACTAGTCCCAGATAAGTGGAAAGATGCATGGAAGGTTGAATCAGTGAATGTGGAGGCAGGCCCTGCTCCTAGCTAGATAAAAGATTCAAGAGAATCACTCTGTTTCCCTGAGCTCTGCTTTTGTAACTATAAAATGAGGACATTGGGCTGTGTGATCTTGCTATCTTTTTCTATTCTAAAGTGATGTGATTTTTTTAACATTACTTTCACTGAGCCTCATTTTTCTTATCTGTAAAAATGGGAAGAATGCCTACCTCACAAGGTGACTTTGAGGATTTAAAGATTGCAATTGAGTGCCTTTCCCTATACAAATCTACTTGATTCCCAAATTCAGTTATTAGGAGTATATAGAATGAGTTCAGATAGTGAGGGGTATAACACTGTTTGAATCTCTTTGAGTTCACTATTTCATATAACAAGTGGTGAATTTCAGATAGTGAGGATTTATCAAATGTTTTTAGTTTAGTTATGGAAGCACCTTGCATGTAGGCAGCACTCAATAAATTTTACCCTGGTCTCCTTGACCTTGAGGATAAAGACAACCTTGTTTAGCTTTGTACCCTCAGCCTGTGGCCCTCAGGTGAGTTATGGGGGACCCTGCTGAGTCTTGGGTGTTTGGCTATAAAATGTACTTAACAATATATATGCCCCATAGAGTTGTCACACAGAATGGTACAAGATCATTCCAAAAAATGAAATAAAATCACAACTCTCAAGCACATATAAATGAACAGATACTTAAGATTTTATAAAATTTGCAAATAAGTGAGAGAGCCAGGAGTATTATAATCAGTTCAAAGAAACATTCAGGGGTGTCTGGATGGCTCAGTTTGTTGTGCATCTGACCCTTGATCTTGCCTCAGGTCATGATATTACAGGTTGTGGCATCGAGTCCTATGTTGGGCTCCTCACTGACACTCTGAAACCTGCTTGGGACTCTTTCTCTCCCTCTCACTTCCCTCCCCCAAATAAATAAATGAACACATTTTTATAAAAGAAAACCCCAAAATAAACACATATTTATATCTCAGAAATATTAAAATTGATGTCCAAATATAGGTGAAGCTGGCTTCTTCCATAATGTCCAGAGAAGGCAGCTGAACCTCTCTGCTAGACAGGATAACATTTGTGCATTTATCAAAAAGAATTTTTTTTTTTTTTTTGCTAATAGCTATTTATATTTTCTAGAGTTATAGATTCTGTAGACTTCTTCCACAGCATCAGAATCAAAGAGCAGGAGGGTGTGCTAGAGACAACATACAGGCTTCCATTGAAGCACTTTTTTTCCATATAAATAAATCAGATAAATGTAAGTCACATAACCGGTGCCTAGCATATAGCTGGACCACCAATAAATGGTTATTTTTTAAAGTTGTAATAATGACATAGTGGAAATGAAATAGATTGAGTGTTTTTGCAGATAATTAATTACATCAGAATTGCAACTCTAGCAATTACTTAGCCTATTTCTTAGGTTTGAAATTCATCCTCACATGCAGTTCAGGGTTCTGTCCTCCCTCCCACTTCTTAAGTTTATTTATTTGTTTGAGAAAGAGCATGGGCCGGGGGGGGGGGAGTCAGAGAGAGAGAGAGAGAGAGAGAGAATCCCAAGCAGGTTCCACACCATCATCATGGAACCTGAGGCGGAGCTCAATCCCATGAACCATAAGATCATGACCTGAGCCAGTATCAAGAGTTGAATGTTCAACTGACTGAGTCCCCCAGGTGCCCCATCTGTGCCCCCCTTTTAACTATAAGTTCTATTTTTTTTTTTTTAACATGTAGTAAGAAGAGTCTACAATTTAGACATTTCTGTCAGGAGTTATCCTACGTTTGTGGCAAGGGAACTCTTCCACTCTTCCTTTTGCTTAAGCAAGGGTTCACTTGTGTGAAAAGTGGATTAAATTTTATGGAGTAAAACTAGAAAATACTGAGACTGTATCTCACTTGCAAATTCTATTAAGATTTGGGGAAGCTAGGAAGACTTTCTAATTGATATTTTGGCAGCTCTTGGTTGGCTTTAAGGGAACACGTTGTAAGCAATTTGGGTATATTTTAAAAGAGGAAGTATCCCATATGAGGAGCAATTGTTTTCTGTGGCTAGCTATTTCCTGAAGGAAGAGGAGATCCATGGAATGTTCTGTTGCTGCCATAATGATCCTTATAGGTTGGGAGGAAAGGACCACTGAAGCTGATAGTCTCATAATATATACCAGTTAATACAAGAGAGTGTTAAATAAGTAATATGGTTTAGATGCACAGGAACTGAATTTGTTAAAAAAAAAAAAAAAAAAAAACCATGAATCCAAAACCGATGTAAAATTTCAGGCCAAAACAATTGTGATGAAGGAAAGAAAATGTATGTGTTTAAGGAATTAGACCAAAATTATGAGGTGATAATTATCACCTCATGAAATGACATGAAGTTTATCAATCTGGAATTTCCCATAACCCAATGACTGAGTCACTCTTTTAATGTATGTATATATGTATATATATAGCCTTAGGGCAGATTTGGTGAACAAAACATTTTGATATTATTTAAACAAAACAAACAATAATCTGTGGGCCTCTCCCGTGCCTGAGTAAGGAAAGTGTAAGAGAAGTAGATTCAGGTTGCCTAATCTTAAAATTTAACTTCCTCTTCCGACAAGCCTTTCCCCTATGTTCTGCAAAATGTCAGACAGAAAGCTATAAGTAGTAAGTCCTAGAAAGGCTGAATAGGATAAATGTATTAAATTGAATAGGATAATATGTATATAAAAGATACTAGTACAACACCAGTCTTATGGTAACTTCTAAAATATTAACTTCCTTTCCACCTTCTGAGGATATGCAATAGCAAGCAGATTTTAGTAAAATCTGTAATACTGAGTCTCTAATTAATAAATTTTTATTAAGCTTTTGCCATTCACCTGGTGTACTTCTACTAGTTGTAATTAGGGATAGAAAATCACATTAACCTGAAATAGTGTTTTTAAAAGAAAAACTTTTTCCCCATCACTTTCTAGTACAAATAATAAGAATAGTAAAAGAAAAAAAATGTGAGTTATGGGTGCTAAAAATCTATCAACCACATATTCTAAATATATCCTTTTGTGTGTGTGTGTGTGTTTATAGGAGTTACTGGAAAAGCAAAGATAACCCATGTAGATTAACAGAATGGAAACATCCTGAAACTACTCTGGAGTCTGAATAAATTGACTGGATTCAAGTTTCACAAACAAGGAAACTGGTCCATGGACAATTTGCCACAGGTAAGTGAGAGTTATAATTTACTCTCTTAGAATCCTTCAAAGATTCATTGACTGTGGGGTTGTTAATTGCATTTCAGATGATTCTAATATTCCTTTGGTACAGCTGACAGCTTCTCTTTCCTCCCAAACATACACATGTGGATGCCAACATATGGCTAAATATCTGGCCATTTCATCTTGCTCATTTGGGCTTCAGTCATTTACAAAAGAAGGAAGCAGGGGGAAAATAGTACCCACCTCATAAAACTTTTACTAGCAATGATTTCTGTGGAGGGGCGGCAGTCAAACTAAGTGTTCCTCGAGCAGATGTTCCTTTGCACTGTCTGGGAGTTGTGGCAGATTGGTCTGCCCAGGATTCAGAATGAAACAGACAACTGGTGATGCCCCCCTCCTTTTATGAAATGGGGACTGCAGTTAGGTTTTTAATATGGAACAAAGTGTTTGGAAAAGGTAGCTGGCTTTTTATTCTTCCTTTGAAAACCTGGAGGGATTGGAAAGCTTGATGTGATAACAGCATGAAAATAGTTGCTGTTGGGCTACTAGCAAAGTGGAACTTGTCTAAATGAACCAGTGGGGAAGCGTGAAAGTCCAAGTGACTCCTACAAGTAGCATTTTGTGAGCTGGGGCATGATGTGGCATCTCCTTTAGCTAAATGTTGTACCATCAATGGTCAAGGCCACTTGAGCCCAGAAATAAGAGATGTCCAGCTCTGTAAAATGGAAATATGTTCATTCATCTGTGGTGTTTCACTGTGTTGAAGAGAAAAAAAAAAAAAAAAGGATTCAGTTATAGTGGCAGTAAGCTCCATCTATTGCAAAAGCGACATTTATACTTGCTATTTTAATTGGCAAATAGTTATTTGAATCATTCATGCTGTTTTAAGGGAGAAGTAGAAATGCTATACGAACCTGTAGGAGGAATTGCTCATGCATTTTCCTGTTAATATTTAGCTCTCCCTGGGTTGCATGTATACCATCTATCTGTACTAAATTCATAACTCAAGAGTTTCCTGGAACACAACTATACTCTGCTGTATCGACACATCACGTGATGTAGATTAGGTTAATAGAAGCCATGCTATCTGTCTTTAAGGAGCCCACTTCGTTTTGAAATTCCCATAAGAACATTAGATATGGAGATGCTTTGTAGTGTGGAAAGTGCTCTCTAAAGATGAGGAGGCAATGGTAAGGTAAAGTATTGCAGGGGAACATGAACCAATGCAGAAAAAAAAAGATTTGAAGCTCTTTTTCCCCCGTAAATATGTGTGATTGTCCCTTTTCATAGCCTTTAATCTTAGTTCTTCTATCTATTTAGAAAAGGGGGTGCTTTTTTTGTTTGTTTTTTGTTTGTTGTTGTTATTGTTTTTGTTAGTTAGGATCTTTTGTTTATAGGGAAGAAAGTCACATGTAAGTGAAAAGAAAATCATTCTGGCAACATACGTGGGCCAGAACTGAAGAAGAATTTGAAAATAAGCGGGGTGGGGAAGGGCAGTACTGGAACGTCTATATACGTTTGTACCTTTTTCAAAATCAACAGAAAACTTTGCAACTCTACTTCTCCCTGAACTTCTATCCACCCCCCACTCTTGTTTCTGATTGCTTTTCTTATCATTCTATTTGCCCATCTCAAAATTTTGCCTTATACACAATCTTTCATAGCCTTCCTATTTATTCTCTCTCAAACCCTGCTACAAATTGCCTGCATCTGTTAGATTGCACTCCAGAAAGAGAAATGACACCAGTTATTTTAACAGATAAAATGTGGGGTGCCTGGGTGGCTCAGTAGGTTAAGTGTCCAAATTTGGCTTAGATTAAGTTGATCTAAGTTTGTAGGTTCGAGCCCCACATTGGACTCTATGCTGACAGTTCTGAGCCTAGAGCCGGCTTTGAATTCTGTATCTCCCTCTCTCTCTTGTCCTCCCCTGCTCATGCTCTCTCTCTCGGAAATGAATAAACAAAAACTTTTAAAAAATAACATGGAGGAATTCCATGCACCCAATCCCCCTTTTCCCCTAATGACAATCATCTTAAAAATCTATAGGACAGTTTTACAATGAGGATATTGACATTAGTACAGACATAATGCAGAGTATTTTAAAAAATTATTTAAATTCAAGTTAGTTAACATATAGTGTAGTACTGGTTTCAGGAGTAGAACCCAGTGATTCATCACTTACATGCAACACCCAGTTCTCATCCCAACAAGTGCCCTCCTTAATGTCCATCCCTCATTTAGCCCATCCACCCACTCACCTCCACTCCAGCAATTCTCAGTTTGTTCTCTGTATTTAAGAGTCTCTTTTGGTTTGCCTCCCTCTCAGTTTTTATATTATTTTTCCTTCCCTTCCCCTACGCTCATCTGTTCTGTTTCTTAAATTCCACATATGAGTGAAATCATATGTTATTTATCTTTCTCTACCTGACTTATTTTGCTTAGCAAAGTACCCTCTAGTTCTATTCATGTTGTTAAAAATGGCAACATTTCATTCTTTTTGATTGCCAGTTAATATTCGTGTGTGTGTGTGTGTGTGCGCGCGCGTGCTGCATCTTCGTTATCCATTCTTCAGTTGATGGACATTAGGGCTCTTTCCATAATTTGGCTATTGTGGATGGCACTGCTGTAAATATTGGGGTGCAGGTGCCCTTCAAATCAGCATTTTTATTTCCTTTGGATAAATATCTAATAGTACGATTGCTGGGTCATAGGATAATTATTTTTAATTTTTTTGAGGAACTTCCATACTGTTTTCCTGAGTAACTATACCAGTTTGTATTCCCACCAACAGTGCCAAAGTGTTCCCCTTTCTTCATATACTCACCAATATCGGTTGTTTCCTGGGTTGTTCATTTTAGCCATTCTGACAAGTGTGGGGTGATATCTCATTGTGGTTTTCACTGGTATTTCTATCACCATAAAGACACTTCCTGTTGTCTTTTTATAGTCATACCCACTTCATTCCCATCCCCCAGCCTCTTTCTTAAGCAGCTGGCACTACTGATCTCTCAGTTTGTATAATTTATTCATTACAGGGATGTTGTATAAATGGGACCCTACAGTATGTAACATTTGGACTTGGGTTTTTTTATGCAATATAATTATCAGGAGTTTCATCTAAATTATTGTATGCAATAGTTCATTCATGTTTTTCAATAGTAATATTTCTGGTAAGGATATACAATAGTGTGTTTAAGCATTCACTGCAGAAGAATGTCTCAATTGTTTGCAGTTTGGGGCTATTATAAATAAAGGTGCTATAAAAATTAATGTACAGATTTTTGTGTGAACATAGGATTTCATTTCTTTGCCTAGAAGTGAACTGCTGGGCTTTATGACAATTGCATATTTAGAAGTTTTTCCCCCTTGCTTTTGGTTGCATATTTAGAGTCCCCTCCCCCAGCTTTATTGTGATATAACTGACATATAACATTGTATAAGTTTAAGGTGTACAGTGTGATAATCTGATACAAGTGTGCATTGTGAATTGTTAACTACAATAAGTTTAGTTAGCATGCTTCATCTCAAATAATTGTGGTGGTGGTGAGGACATTTAAGATTTGTTCTCTTAGCAAACATTCAACTATACAAAACAATATTGTTAACTATAATCACCATGCTGTACAGTAGCTCTCCAAAATGTATTCCTCTTATAACAAAGTTTATACCTTTGGAGCAATACTTCCCTATAACTTCCACCCCAAGCCTCGGTAACCATCAATCTACTATTTGTTTCTATGAGTTCAGTGTTTTTAGATGCCACATGACTGAGATCGTATAGTATTTATCTTTCTCTATCTGACTTATTTTACTTAGCATAATGCCCTCAGACTTTACCCATGTTATCACAAATGGCAGAGTTTTTATGATTGAATATAGCATTTTCCTTATCCATCTATTGATGGACACTTAGGTTGTTTTCATGTCTTGGATGTTGTGAATAATGCTGCATTAAATGCGGGAGTACAGTTATCTGTTCAAGATAATTTCATTTTCTTTGGATATATATTCAGAAGGGGAATTACTGGGTCATCTGGTAGTTCTATTTTTAATTTTTGGAGGAATCTTTATACAGTTTTCCATTAAGTGACTGTGCCCATTTACATCCCCACCAACAGTGCACCAGGGTTCCTTTTCCTCCACATCCTTGTCCGTGCTTGCTGCATTTTGTCTTTTTGATAATAGTCATTCTAACAGGTGTGAGGAGATACCCCATTGTGGTTTTGATGCATAAAAGGAAAACTAGAAAAAGGTCTTCTTACCAGGAAAGGGAGGACAGAGTGGGGGTGAGCTACCCTAGCCTTCTGAGACATTGCATGAAGGACCCACTTGGGTTGGACCCCATCCGGAGACTGGCAAAGCCAAGATTGATAGGGGCAGCTAAGAACAAGTAAGAAGGGCAGCAGTTCCAGTATCAGCCATGCAGTGGGAATGATGGTGGTTCTTAGGGACCTGCTCTGCAGAGGACCTCCTCAGCTTTTGCCGCTAAAGGAACAGACCTCAGACTGCCTACAGATTTCACTAGATTTAACACCACACAGATGCCAGCCATTCTGGGTTCCTCTGTGTTCTCTACCACACCCTCATAAAGCTGAGGGCCCTGAATCCCAACTGGCAGCAGCCCTGCTCTTTGCGGCTATACAAATATAAAATGCCAGCCTAGTCCCACTTGATTTTTGCCTTTGTTGCTTTTGGTGTCAGACCCCAAAAAAATGTTGCCAAGACTGATGTCAAGGAGCATTGTCCCTAATTATCCCATTGTAGTTTTTATTTTCAGTTCTCTAAAAATAAGTGATGCTTAACATTTTTGTACTTATTTACTTATTTACTATATGCATATTCTCTTCAGAGAAGTACCTGTTCATGTCTTTTGCCCATTTTCTAATTGGATTGTTTGGTTGGTTGGTTGTTATTTTTAACTGTTGAGTTTGAGAACTTCATGTATGTTCTAGGTCCTAATCCTTATCAGATACACAATTTGCAAATATTCTCTCCCATTCTATAGCTTGTCTTTTCACTCTCTTAACACAAGTTCACAGAACACAAGTTTTGAATTTTGATGAAGTCCAGTTTATCAGTTTTTCCCTTTATAGATCACGCTGTTAGTGTCCAGTCTAAGAATTTCTTTGCTGACCACTAGACCCCCAAAGGTTTTCTTCTG